ATATATATATATACTGTTTAAGAAACAAAAAAAGTCCAACTTTTTAGAAGTGTCTAAAGTGGAAGGGGAAGTTTCCTCACTAACTTAACAGTTAGATGCGTACCATGTAGGTATGTACTGTGGCATGTACCTTGTTCCAACGTGATGTTAGGTTTTCCCAAGTTTACTGTGGTCATTGAGGAATGTAGTGGGGAAGCTCTCAAGTTTGCTGTAATTTTTTGTACTCCAGAGTGAAGGTCTCTCAGTTCTCTTAATCTGGATCCTTGAGGAGTTTGTACAGGAGATATTGAGGCCTTCAGAAGACTTACTTGCTGGTCAAACTTTGAGAAGATAGATTTATGTCAGCCAGTTGAGAGGATTACTGTCAACAAATATTTTTCTGGTTGAGTAGACTACTAAAGGAATCAAGTAAGACATGAAGATAAAACAGTGATGAGTTTGAGGAAGGAGGTGATAGTTGATATTTGCAAGTTGACTGGATTGTGTCCCTTGTGTTTAGGCTCTCATTCCAGGGCACCTACCCTGTCATGCCTTTCCCTGTGAAAATTGCCCAGGAGTTTACCAAAAGCCCTAGCCATGTTTTCTGTACAGTCTCTTGCTTAATTGTGGAGCTGAGCTTTTGATCATGCTTTGTAGATTTTAATCTCTCTTGATAATGCCTTCAGCTTGATCCTAATGTAGTCAAGGAAGGTGAACATATATGTTGGGTACCCATATCTATTGTAGTTTGGTCCCCTGAGGCACCTGACATGGGGCTGTGTAATGTTCTCCCATTGTGACTGATACATCTTATACCAGCTCTACCAGTCAGTCATGTGTCCCTGGGTATGTCACAGCCTGACTCAGTTCCCCATTTATAATATGAGGATAATAATTCCTATTTCTTAGACTTGTGAATATTAACTGAGTAAATATTGATATATGACAATCACTTAGAACAATGTATGGCACATAGTAAGAACCCCACAACCGTTAGCAATTATTACTGTTATGAGGTGCCTTGGAAATAATATATATGAGATGAATATTTATGGTAAATATTAATGACAAGAGTTACAGTGTCAAAGACAGGTTAATTATATATTATGGATAAAGGGAGAAAAATGACACAAGAAAGAAGACTATATACTTACCACCAAATCTTGCCTTTACTCACAACACACACGAAGAGGGCCTTATTTTACTTAATTCAGTAGTCGTTGAAAATTACTCTCCTTTATGCAGAAGGTGATATCCCGAGATTATTGGTGCATGGAATCAATGTGGGTCTGGGGACAGAAGGATAATGAATAGCTGGGGAATATACTAAAATGGCAACTATGAATACAAAGTTGAATAAAATTTTTTCTTTTCATCTTAGAATAACTTTAATTTTCTTAGGTCATATTTATATTGTGTTGAATATTTCATTCCACTTTTCCCCAGTGTTGAATCCTACTTTTAAAGAATTTACTGATTTATATTTAAAAATGACTAAAAATACATTTTGAAATAATGAGTTACTCATGAGTAAGTGAGGTTTATAGTTTTGAATGATAGCCTGTGTTTTTTGAGAGTGTGGATATGAATTAAAAAATACTGCTTCTATTTTAGTTTTTATTTTATTATTTCTTTTAGAAACAGTGTTTTGCTCTGTCTTGCAGTCTAGCATGCAGTGGTGTTATTATAGCTCACTGCAGCCTTGAACTCCAGGTCTCAAGTGATCATCCTGCCTCAGCCTCTTGAGTAGCTGGGACTACAGGTGTGCACCACTGTGCTGGGCTAATTTTTAAATTTTTTGTAGAGGTGAGGGTCTTGCTATGTTGCCTGGGCTGGTCTTGACCTTATGGCTTCAAGTGATCCTCCTGCCTTGGCCTCCTGGGATTATGGGCCTGAACTACCATGCCTGGCCTATTATTTTTGATCGGACTAAGTCATATGGATAATGGTAGCATAGGATACTGCCCCAAGTGACTTTAGTGTACTCCATACTCTCCAACCTTTAATTATTAAATTTGGGGAAGAATTTCAATTACTTATCTTTAAAAATTCATTTTTATATCCAATCTTTGATCGAAATATGTGTTAGTAATTTAAAGGCTAAGGCTACACTAACTGGAAGAATTTTTCTGAATCTTAAGAATTTTGTTGGAAATTATGCTTATACTGCCCCCTACAGTTTCTGTCACTTGCATAATCATGATTCATCACCTTAAGACAGAACAGATTTTCAAATGAAGAGTTCAGTTGAAGAAGTATTTTATTAATGATAGTTTGGGTTGATGGAAAGATAGGAGAAAATTGGATTCTAATATTTTCTATACTTAATAAAATATAAATAACAATATTGAGTCTTTTCCGTCTACTGAAAGTGCTGAGAAAAATTACTGAGAGCTTGATTTATACTGTGTTATGTTTGAGAGTAACCACTTATCTTTAATTTTGGTCAATCTGTTCAGTTGAGTTAAATCTTGTCCTAATTATTGAATAAGTATGGACAGTCATCATATCTTTCCCTTTTGACTTTGGGGTATACTTTTTGATTAAGAAAACTATGTTTTTTAAAGTTGCCTGTTATGTTATTACTTAGGCAGATGCTAAAATGAGTGTGAATTTCTTGAATACTAACTGTGGATTGAAATGACTGAAATGGTTTAAGTCTTTATTGGCTCTAAGGAGCATCTGGTTTTGTATTCAAAAAAAATGTGATAATTTGTACTTTCCAAAATAGTGAAAAGTACACTGATCTCAACTCAATGCAGTGGAATGGGAAGAGGCAAGGTGAAGAAAAGCAAGTTTTCATCTGTCTATCTGTCACACACACACTAAAAGGACTTATGCAGGCCACCTAGACATATCATTTTTGGATTTTTCTTAGAAACCAGTGATCTTGTGTGGTTTCATTTTTCTTGTCCAACACTACAGACAAGTGGAGTTGTCCTAGGACTACCACTTCTGGACACCAGAGGGGGTGTTTTCTTCATTTAAATAAAGGGGGTCGGGTGCAAAAGTTCCTTCCTGTTAAACTGACCAGCTTCTCCCTTTAGGGTTTTGGGAGGGAAGGTGGCCGCTCCTGTATGAAAGGTGTTCTGCAGTGTGGAAATGAAAACGATATGACTCCAAAGAGCATTTTGTTTATCTTCAAAATGTGGGGAAAGAAATGGAAAGGTCAGTTTATAGATCATATTTTAATGATTTCTCATTAAATTGCTTTGGCCCCATTGTTTCCTACAACTTTTTTGAAATTATCCTTGTAACTGATGAGAAAGTGAATTATATTCATATGGTAGTACAAGTCTGGTTTTACTCATAGCAGAGTAGATTAATATTGTGAAACAATTTGGTCTTTATATCTGGGACTATACATTTGAAAGACAGTTGCTTTCCTGGCT